ACAATGTGAACTAAGATTTACGAGAGCTGTTAAACCTAATTATAAAATATAACCATGGAAGAGAAAAAAAATGATTACAATTAATATAAATGGACTCAACTCAGCTGTTAAAAAGGAAAACCTTTCATAAATTGGAGAAATTAAAATTTGATATAATTTGTCTGCAAGAAGTACATATTAAAAAACAATATGAACAATTGTTGGTACAGCCAAAATTAGGGAAAATATTTACTTCCTTGACCCAATGTAAGAAAAGAGGAGTGGTTTTATATATCAAAGAGACCACCCCAGCAAAATTGATTTATACTGATGATGATGGAAGAATACTAATGGTGGAAATAATGGACAATAATATGAAAACACTCCTGATTGCAATATATGCTCCGAATGACAAACAAGAAGAATTCTACAAAAAACTACATATGAAAATAATTGAACTGGACTATGCTAATATAGTTATGGGAGGTTTTAATGGAATTGTAGACAACAAATTGGACTATACAGCACAGAAAACAACGAAGCAAAACAGAAAGACTCTCCCTAAATCTTTTTTTAAAATGGTAGATGAAATAAACTTAAAAGATACATGGAGAGAAAGAAATGCTAAAACTAAGCAATATACCTTCTATTCAAATAGACACTTATCATGGTCCAGAATAGATATGATATGGATGTCAACAGAATTAATACCTAACATTCAAGAAATAAATATTGAAACAAGTACTTGGGCAGATCACAATCCAATGACAATTAAATAGAAAGGACAAAAAAGAAGATCTAGATGGACATTAAATAATACTATTATAAAGGAAAAAGACTTCACACATTGGATGGAGAAAGAATTGGCCTTTTTCTTCAGAGAAAATAAAAAAGAAGATACATCAATACAGAATGTATGGGATACAATGAAGGCATATGCTAGAGGCTTGATAATAGACTATACAAGGAAAAGGAATACCATGAAAAGACTAGCCTCTAAGGCCTTAGAGGATGAGCATAAAAGACTTGAAAAAGAGCTACAGAAAATGCCACAGAAAAAGGACATCAAGTTAAAAATGGATATAATTAAACACAAAATCGGTCAAATAGAAAAAGAAGAATTAGCACAGAAAATTAGAGGTGCTAAACAGAATTATTTTGAAGATGCAAACAAACCAGGGAGATGGTTAGCATATAAATTGTGAAAGGAGAAAGAATCAAGGAAAATATTGCAATTAATAGATGATCAAGGCCAAGTTTGCTATGGTAGCAAAGAGAAGAAGGAAATTATTTGAGACTTCTATGGGAAATTATATATGCAAGAGAATATTAATGAAGAAAGAGTTAAGCAGTATTTACAGAATGCTAATTTACCTCAGATACCTAAAGAGACTGAAAAAATGTTAGAAAGCAACATAACGATGATGGAGTTAACTGAAGCACTCAAGAAGAAAAACAATGGAAAGGCACCAGGCCCAGATGGACTTCCGGCAGAATTTTATAAAACACTACAAGAATCATTGAATCTTCCATTGCTAGAAGTTATGAATGAAGTTATGTTAAAGAAGAAGATACCTAAATCATGGTCAGAAGCCTATATTACACTTATTCCTAAAGAGGAGGCCGACCCATTACAAATTAAGAACTATAGACCCATTTCTTTACTAAATGCAGATTACAAAATCTTTGCTTCAATATTGGCAGAAAGACTAAAAAAATATTTAAATAATTTTATCCATCCTGATCAAAATGGATTTCTGCCAAAGAGACAAATTAAAGACAATATGAGAGTAATCTTGGACACCTTGGAACACTACAAGGCACATCCTGAAAAACAAATGGCTCTGATATTTCTAGATGCACAGAAGGCATTTAACAATGTGAATTGGTGATTCATGTTATTACTGTTGGAACAGTTGGGTTTCGCTAGAAAATTTATCCAAGCAATAGAAGCTTATAGTATATAAGCAAACGGCAAAGGTAATGATAGAGGGAGAGCTGACAGACTCTATTAATATAAGAAAAGGAACAAGACAAGGGTGCCCACTATCACCTTTGTTGTTTGTGTTAACTTTGGAAGGGTTAAACAGAAATATTAGTGATGAAAAGAATATAAAAGGAATGAAAATCAAAAAGGAAGAATTTAAGCTGCAAGCATTTGCGGATGATCTGGTTTTCATTTTAGAAGACCCTTTAGAAACAGCATCAAAATTGATAGAAAAGATAGAGACATATGGAAAGGTGGCTGGTTTGAAAATAAATAAAGATAAGACAACGATTTTGACAAAGAATATGCTATTAAGACAAAAGGAAGAACGCAGACCTACTGAAAATTCAAGTCACGAATAAGATCAAGTACTTGGGGATATATTTGACAGCAAGATGTAGTACATTAAAAGAGAATAATTATACTAAACTTAAACAGCAGATAGCGCTAGATCTGGTGAAATGGGAAAACTTACAACTCTCACTAATAGGGAGAATCTCAACAATCAAGATGAATATATTACCCAGAATTTTATATTTGTTTCAAACAATTCCAATTAGGCTTGGAAAAGATTATTTTGAAGATCTAAATAAAATTGTGTTGAAATATATATGGCAAGGTAAGAAAGCGAGAATAAAGTTAAAACTTTTGCAAGATGCTAGAATTAGAGGAGGATTTGGTTTGCCTAATTGGGAATTGTACTACCAAGCTACAAATCTGATGTGGGTTAAGGAATGGATAACACTAAGAAATGCTAGATTGTTGACATTAGAAGGACATGATCTGTTGTTGGGGTGGCATGCTTTATGGTACAAAGGAACTAAAACATAGGGGTATTTTAGAAGACATTATATACGGGAGTCTCTGTGGTTAAACTGGGAGAAGGTTAAAAGACAATGTTATTTGAAAATTCCAGTCTGGTTATCGACTATTGAAGCATTCTCGTATCCTATAATATACAAAAAGAACAAACAGTTAGATATGGTGAAATACTGAATGAAAAGGGTGAACTTAAATCTATGCAAAAACTAGAGGAACAAGGTATAAAGATGAATTGGTTTTCATATGTGCAAATACATTCAAAGTATGATAAAGATTCTAAAACAGACGGTTTCTATGATAAATTGACTGATTTAGATAAGATTTTGACAGGTACTGATGAAAAGGTGATTAAAAATTGTATGGATATTTATTAAAATTAAACTAGAAGAAGAACAAGTTAAAGAAACTATGATTGCTTGGGGGAAGAATTTTGGATATGGGATTGATTTAGAGAAATGGCAAAAATTGTGGTCTCAAAATTATAAAATGACAATGTCAACAGCATATAAAGAAAATTTGTATAAGATGTTTTACAGGTGGCATTTCCCCCTGACAAGAATAGCAAGAATGTTCAAGAATAAATCCGAAAAATGTTGGAAATGTCATCAGACACCTGGCTCATTTTACCATATGTGGTGGACTTGTGCAGATGCTAAAAAATACTGGACTAAAATCCACATGTGGTTGGAAAAAATGACGAAAAAACATATAGACTTGAAACTAGAGATATTTTTATTGGGAATTTTACCTGAAATATATAGTAAAGAATTGAAATACCTGATTGTAAATGTATTAACAGCGGCTAGGATTGTATTTGCTAAAAACTGGAAAAATGAGAAGATTCCATCACAGGAGGAAATCATTAAGAAAATATTGGAATGTGCTGAAATGAGTAGATTGACATTTGAAATTAGAGAACAAGAGGATAAACAATTTTATAAAATTTGGGATCTTTTCTATCAATGGTTAGATAACAAAGTACAGTAATGAAATATGTAGATTTCTAGAAAATAATAAATATATAAAGATGTACTTCTTTCTAATTATAACTATAAAATGACTTTAGGATAGATTTGGGATGATAAGATGAACTGTTATAAAATAAATTAAGTAAACTATGGTTATCTTGTAAAACATGAATGAATAAAAGTATAGTCAAATGATTGATTAATAATGATACTAAGGTATTTAATTTTTGATTGACAATATGAGATTGTATGCAATGTAATTGTAATTGAAGACTACGAAATGGAAGCACAAAATAATTTGTAAACCAACCGGCACACTGTATGCACACATATGAAAGATAGCTTGATGTTTTTATGTTTTGTTTGTTTATGTCTGTTTTGAAAAACAAATAAAATTTATTTTAAAAAAAAGATCGGACAGGTGTTTTCTTCCTATTTTTTTTGCTTATTTTAACTTCTATTTCTGGTCTGTCTTTTACAGTTATGTTTTTGGTGGGTTGAGCTATAGTTTCTTTTTGCGTGAAGAAGGATGCAAAGAATGAGTTAAGCAGATCTGCTTTCTCTGTGTTGCCTGTTACTTCCTTGCCATCTTCTCTCTTTAGTGGACCGACTGTTTCCTTAACTTTTTTCAATGACCCAGGAGCAGCCACCATTTTGACACAGAGACAGGCATGAGAAAATAGAAGCTGCTTCCACAAGTCTGCCACATGACCCAGGCATGAATCCCAAGTACATTCAAAATAACAGCTGCTTCCACAACAGTCATGAAGCCCACAAATGTGTGTCTTGCCTTCCTTCACCAACATGAGGTTCAGAGATCTTCAAAAGGTATGGAGAAGGAGGAGGTGGGTTGGGAGTCAGGCCTAACAACTGCAGGGACCCAGTGGGAATAGGAAAATGCCTGTGGGGACCCAAAGGGTGGGGTAGTGGAGGCTAGGCCTCCCAAGAGATTCCCACAACCCTGAGGTGGTCACTGTGCTGCTTAACAACTTGAACATTTGTTTAACAGCTTCATGAGGGAGAGAAGGGGATGGGGACAGGTAGTTAAGCAATCTCACTTAAAAACCACTGCAACATGTAACCAAAACTGGTACGCCCCATTACAGTTGTATGTAGAGGACTACTTCTATGGTGGCTGGGGAATTCTGGGGCTCAAAATATGGAGGACACCAAGGTAGAAGAAGGAAATTCCATGTGTGGAAATTCCATAACCAATATACAAAAGATACAACCCCAAAAGACTTTTTCAGGAATTCCACTACTTCTGCAAAAATGAAATTGCTGCTGATAACAAGAAACTGGTAGTTAGCCCTTTTCCTTTTTTCTCCACTTACAAGTCTAATTCTGAGGTATGTTTTTACCTACATTCCTAATGAGAGATGAGAAATGAAATTAAAGCCTTTTATAAACTCATCAACTTTTCCCTCAATTGGATTTCCATTTGGGCAATAAGGAACTATTTATGCCAGTAGCATCATCCACAGTCAGATTAGTCTCTATGAATCCTCCGGTATATCGCCAGGTTTGAATTCTGACTGAAATATACCCACAATTAGGTTGCTCAAAAGGTTTCTCTCCTGTGTGAGCCCTCTGGGGTTTCACAGGGTCAGAATTCCCATTGAAACTTTCCCATATTCTACACATGCAAACAGTTTCTCTCTTGGGTAAATCCTCTGATGATTCAGCAGTCAGGAATTCCGACTGAAACTGTTCCCATAATCAGAATATTAAAAGGGTTTCGCTCCTTTGTGAGTCCTCTGATGGCTCACCAGAGTGGAATTCTGACTGAAACTTTTCCCACAAACAGGACATTCAAAGGGTTTCTCTCCTGTGTGAGTCGTCTGGTGTTTCACCAGGCTGGAATTCTGACTGAAACTTTTCCCGCAAATAGGACATTCAAAAGGTTTCTCTCCTGTGTGAGTCCTCTGATGATTCACCAGGCTGGAATTTTGACTGAAACTTTTCCCGCAAACAGAACATTCAAAGGGCTTCTCTCCTGTATGAGTCCTCTGATGTTTCACCAGGTAAGAATTCTGACTGAAACTTTTCCCACAAAGAGGACATTCAAAGGGTTTTTCTCTTGTGTGAGTCCTCTGATGGTTCATTAGGCGAGAATTCTGCCTGAATTTTTTCCCACAAAGAGGACATTCAAAAGGTTTCTCTCCTGTGTGAGTCCTTTGGTGTTTTGCCAGGAGAGAATTCTGCCTGAAACGTTTCCCACAGTCAGGACATTCATAGGGCTTCTCTCCTGGGTGAGTCCTCTGGTGTTTCAGCAGGTCAGAATTCTGACTGAAACATTTTCCACAAACAGGACATTCAAAGGGTTTTTCTCCTGCGTGACTCCTCTGATGTGTCACCAAGTTGGAATTCTGGCTGAAACCTTTCCTACAAATAGGACATTCAAAGGGTTTCTCTCCTGTGTGAGTCCTCTGGTGTATCACCAACTCATAATTCTGTCTGAAACTTTTCCCACAAAGAGGACATTCAAAGGGTTTTTCTCCTGTGTGAATCCTCTGATGTGTTACCAGGTTGGAATTCTGGCTGAAACCTTTCCCACATACAGGACATTCAAAGGGTTTTTCTCCTGTGTGACTCCTCTGATGTGTTACCAAGCTGGAATTCTGGCTGAAACTTTTCCCACAAACAGGACATTCAAAAGGTTTCTCTCCTGTGTGAGTCCTCTGATGATTCAGCAGACTGGAGTTCTGACTGAAACTGTTTCCACAAAGACGACATTCAAAGGGTTTCTCTCCTGTGTGAGTTATCTGATGACTTACCAGTTGGGAATTGTAACTGAAACTCTTTCCACAATCAGGACATTCAAAAGGTTTCTCTCCTGTGTGAGTCCTCAGGTGTCTCACGAAGTGGAAATATCCAATGAAATGTTTCCCACAATCTGGACAGTCATACAGCTTCTCGCTGCTGTGAGTCCTCAGATGTATCAACAAGTTGCCATTTTTCTTAAAGGGTTTACCACATTGGAAGCACTTGTAGGGCATCTCTTCTGGATGGGTTCTTCTGCGAACCCAAAGGATCTGTTCTAACAAAAGCTTTTGCAACATTCAGAAAATTTGTATGTGCTTTTCACCAGAGTGGATTCTTCCCTGCTTAATCACTTGCGATTTGAAGTCTGCTTTCTCCGTAATAGGCACAACTATTGAGCTTTCTTAACACTGATATTCTTGAGAAGGTCAAAAATATATGTGATCCCTTGTTTAGTGGTGCTTTGATTTAAGCCCTTTTCTCCCTCACAGGGCAACGCCTGTATTACTGTCTGCCCTATGTGCCAGTCCAATTAACCTTTTCCTCCCCATTCACTTCCAGATATTTTCCTCTTTTTCTGAATGGAAAAATAATCGCCCTTGCCTTTTTTGTGTATTATGTCCTTGAGTTCCACATATTCTACTTTTTCCAGCTCAAAATCTCTCATTGATCTTCTTTCCTTTGTCTATCAACTGCTGTGGAAGGAGAAGAATTGTGTGGTTCTTCTGAAGGAAATGGAGAATATTTTTATTTCTGCCTCAATCTGCTTTGGTTTTCAATATTGCTTCTTATTCTCAGTTGTCCGATGTGGTCTTCTGGTATCATCTTTGTCTGTAAGATTCAAATGAAAATGTAGCTTTTATTGTTTATAAAAGGGTTGCAGAAGATGTGAAAAATTTACATTACAATGAAAAAGCAAACATGCCAATATGCTAGAATAATCTCTAACATCAAGATATTCAGTTCCAATATCCATTCAATGATTAAATTCACTTGTTGACTTAGGTCAGTCACAAATTCTCAGCTCTGCAAAGGGTTATCATCAAATATATACGGTAGATAGATAGAATTCTTTATTGGCCAAGTATGATTTGAAACACAGGGAATTTGTCTTTGGTGCATATGCTCTTAGTGTACATAAAGAAAAAATAAAATGCATTCATCAAGAATCATAAGATACTTACTGGTAGTCATAGGTTACTAATAAGCAATCAAATCATACCAGGAAACAAAGAAGAAAAATATAAGTTTATTATGGTCTTAGACCAGCAATAGACATCACTATTTACCATATATAAAAAAAATAGTACTGAGCCAATAAGTATGTGTGTAAATATCATTTCCCCAGAGATTGTTCTATCTCCAAAAATTGGCACAAATTGACAGCTATCGTTCTGTAACCAATTTTCTTTCTTTCTTTTTATTTCTGTCCCTTCCTTTCATCCCCTTTCTTCCTTTCTCTTCCTTCCTTCCTTCCTTCCTTCCTTCTTTCCTTCCTTCCTTCCTTTCCTTGTCTCTTCCCTCTCTTTCTCTCTCCCCGCACCTGAAACACACACACACACACACACACTTCCAATGTTGCTCGTTAACTTATGTTCTTCCCGGACAGTCTCCTAGAGTCCCAGGGACCAGGTACGATTATCCGTTTGCACCCGGTCCTGCATTGCCCGGCAGGCAAGGTTTCCGGGTCCAACAAAGGGGTCGGGACTTCTTCCACTCCCTCAAGTTCCCACCCCGCTGGCATCTCAACTGCCTGCAAAATGCAAACTTACCTTTGTCCTGTGGCTGGTGCCAGAGGAAAAAGTGAGCCAGCCAGGGCAGATCTGTTCTCACGAGGCTTGACTTGCACCATTCTCACAGAATGCGGCCCGCATTCAGCCAAAGTGCATAGGCCGGTGGGTGAAGGGGCGAGGCAGGCCCAGGCGCCATAGCGTTGTGCTCCCTGGTCGCCCCCTCCCCCGCCCCTAGTAGGCAAGGCCAAGCAGCTGAGGAGAATCCAGGCGGGGAGCGAGATGCAGGCTGGTGGGAACCCAAGCGGCGAAAGGTCAGCCCTGCTTGCCTTCCTCTCTGCCACCAGCTTGCCTGGGAAGCTGGAGGCTGGGGACGGTTGGTGGGGAACCTTGCTGGGCCGCGAAAGCCGCATGGGCAGCTCCCATGGCTAAGCAAGCCAGACAGGGATGGCGGGGCAGCTAGTTAGGCCATGTGCGCTGAGGGGGGCAGTGGCACGGCGGTGGCAGCCGAGGCCAGCAAGGAGTCGGGATTCAACTGTAGCTTGCGGCGGCGGTGGCGGCAAGAGCAGTGATGGCAGTAGCACAGTGGTGGCAGCCTAGGCTGGCCAAGGAGTCGGGAGTCAACTGGGGCTGGCAGCAGCATATAGGAGACCGGGGCTTGCAGAACCTCACTCACATAAGCAGATCATGGTGGAAGACAGACAGCAATGGCTGGTATCAGGCTCCGAGTTCCCCTTGGAGCCCGTCAGTTCCAAACACACCTCACAGCAAGTCAGCTGGCAGTGGAGAATATCACCTTAGCTCTGCTGACACCGGATCTGTATCTAAATAGATAAATACAGTTTTGTGAAGAAATAATAAAATACAGTTATTGTATACATAACATTATAAATTATATATAATTTTTATATAGTGTAAAATACAGTTATGTGAAGAAACTACACCCTGGAGCTATATCTTATGTATCACAACATAGTAAAAATAATCTCATCCTTAGCAGTTTAAAAATAAGTAAATATAACATCAGATGAGCAACGATGATATACTATACCCATATCAATTTTTTTACAAAAACAAAGCGAAAACAGAGATGTGAAAAACTAAAAACACTCTTACTTCTTCCATATGTATGAGAAGGCAACGTAGCAACCAGTGCTGTTGATCAAATGCCAATTGATGATCAATTGATCATTATCAAGTGTGACTATATCTATAAAAGCCAAAATTGTAGGAGTTTCCTGGTCTCCAGCACTGAGGTGTGAATTAGATGCCAAAGAGTAAAGATATCAGCGGGGATCTTAGAGAAGCAACTGCTGCTGCCCATCAATCTGGGAAGGGTTATACAACCTTTTCCAAAACAATTTAAACTCCATCATTCTACATCGTTCCACATTCACAAGTGGAAGACATTCAAGACACTGGCCAATCTTCTCAGGAGTGGATGTCCAAGCAAATTCACCGAAGGTTCAGAATGCACAATGCTTAGAGAAATTACAAAAAATCCAAGCATTACATAATACAATAATAGTATTCTTTATTGGCCAAGTGTGATTGGACACACAAGGAATTTGTGCAAATACTCTCAGTGTACATAAAAGAAAAGATACATCTCAGGCTCTACAGGCCTCAATTAGCGTATTAAGTGTTAAAGTTCATGACAGTAAAATTAGAAAAGGACTGGACAAGTATGATTCGTTTGGAAGGGTTGCCGGGAGAAAGCCTCTGATTTCTAAAAAGGACATGGCAGCAACACTTAGATTTCCAAATTTGCATTAGAACAAATCAGAAGAGTTATGGAACAATGTCCTTTAGATGAGACTAAAGTGCAGATGTTTGGCCACAATGCACAGTGCCATTTTGATGAAAGCAAAACAAAACAAAACAAAACATATCAACACAAAGATCTCACACCAACCATCAAGCACAGTGATGAAGGCCTGATCATTCGGGCTTGTTTTGCAGCCACAGGACTGGCCACTTTGCAGTCATTGAGTCGTTTATGAATTCCCCTCTATTCTAAAGTATTCAGAATCAGAATAGACCTGGAAGGGACCTTGAAGGTCTAGTAGTCCATCCCTCTGCTCAAACAGGAGATCCTACACCATTTTAGACAAGTGTCTTCTTCAAAATGTCCAGTGATGAAGCACCCACAAGGTCTGAAGGCCAGCTGTTCTACAGGTTAATGTCCTCACTGTTAGGATGGTGAGTGAGGACTAACTATACAACTGAACATCCCAAAAAGTCCTCTCTCTCTCTCTCTCTCTCTATATATATATATATTACAAAGTGCTAGGTTAAGCACAGTTGAACCAGGTTAATACATGGATGGGGCACGAATAGGAAATACCATGCTTGTTGGGCAAACATGGAAGTTCAAAAAAAACCTCAGAAGAGAGCAGAGGAAGATCAGTCCGATATTGTTGCCAAGAAAAAGGCTGGTCCATAAGAGAATAACTGAGTTGAAAGGGACCTTGGAGGTCTAGTCCAATCCCTACTCAGGCAGGAGACTTTATATCAGGGGTGGGCAAACTTTTTGGCTCGGGGGGCCGCATTCACTTTTAAAATTTGACAGACGGGCCGGGTCAGCATAAGATTTTTTGGGAATCGCCCCCCCCTTCCCCCCTTCTTCTCCTCCTTCCCCTCCCCTCGGAGGCCCCCTGAGTCAGGAGTTGCTACTGCCGGCACGGCTCCACGCGGCTCCAGTCCCACGTTGCCTCGGGAAGGGAAAGGCAAAAAGGAAGAGCCGCGGCGGTGCTTTGCAACGGCAGCAGCGGCACCAGAGGTTCAGGCTCAGCGGCTCCTGGTTTTGCCTTTCCCTTCCCAAGGCAACGCGGGACTGGAGCCGCGCGGAGCTGCACCGGCGGTAGCAACTCCTGACAGCCCCAGCCGGACACCTGAGCAGAGCCCGGGCAGAACTGCCTGTTGCTGCTGCGGGCGTCTGGCTGCCCAAGTAAAGAACCGCACCAGCTCAGGGCAACTGTGAGGAGCAAGAGGGGAGAGGCAGAGAAGGAGGCAGAGAAGGAGGAGAGCACCTGGCCAGTTGGGGGAGGCTTCTTGTGCTGCGAAAGAGGCGGCTAATGATCTCTGGCTCCACTCTGCTTCTCCAACATCCGGCGCTGCCCTGTTCTGTGCGCCGGCTGCTCGGACTTGCTGGGCCTGACACAGAACAGGGTGGCGCCGGATGTTGGAGAAGCAGAGCGGAGCCGGAGATCATTAGCCGCCTCTTTCGCAGCACAAGAAGAACAGGGTGGTGCCGGACCATTGGAGAAGCGGAGCAAAGCCGGAGATTAGTAGCTGCCTCTTTCGGCGCAGAAAGCTTCCCCCAACCAGCCGGCTGGTCTCCTCCTTCTCTGCCTGTTTG